GACAATCTACTGTATAAATATTACTAAATGTTTGAACTGGCTGCCATTTTCTTCTAAATGCTTCTTTATTCTTATACTTTGACCTAAGAAAAATAGCAGTTTCTTAAAAAAAAAATATTGTGATTGTGCTAGGTAATTTGTCTTTGCTACATTATGAGATTAAAGTTAAGAAATGAGTATGATATACCAAATAAGCCCAATTTTTGTGCCAAGAATATATAGGAGTTCTGTGAGGACATCATATGTTTTAAATGGTTGAAATGATGGTACAATATAAACAAGCATTTCTGAATATGAGTTGTATTTTAGTTGGAATCTAATTTCACTTCAGCGCTTCTTCGGTTTTTTTTAAAAATATATAACTGACAGACTCTGCAGCTTGCAATTATTTTTGCTTGACATCATCAATTTTTCCAGCAACATTGATGAAAAAAAGAATAAGGACTTCTGAGATGCCAAATCCCATTATTTAATTTTATTTATAGCTGTCAGTCCCTAATAATTTCACAACTATTATAGGGCAAGCAAGCATAAAAAAGGTCAAAAACTATTACAGCCTGTCACATTTTAAATGGTTATTAATGAGCAAATATCAATTCTATAACCTTTGCCTTTAAACTAGATGTCCCATTCTTATAATGATACAACAAATACCAGAAGACCATTGAGCAACATGAGCAAAGATATAATTATTCATTCCTATGTGGCACAAAGGTAATTTATGAAAATACTTGACCTGGAATGTTTGCATTAAGCTTCTGATACACGATTATTTTGCTATAATTTTACATCGTTTTCTGTCCTGATTGTTAAATTTATTTTAATCTCCTGCGGGAAAGGGTTTTTTTTAAAAATTATAATGGAATCCAACCATTCTGTCTGTGTCTGGATGGATGGATGTCTATCTAACATATAGATAAGCATTCATCTCAAAAAGTGAATTCTTTCCAGAGGTTGAAGTTTTGTCTAAATAAAACCCTCCACATAGAGATTGTTCACTGTTCACAAGTGGAAGAGAAAGTTAAAAATTATAATAAATAATATTAACAAGGCTTTGAATCTCCATGCCTTGATGAAGTTTATTTTTGGATGCTAGATACTTGACGAACTGGGGAAGTGGGGTGGAAAGGTGAGATCTGCTGAATGAGAGACCCACTTAACAGATAACAGATAATCAGAGTTGGAAGGGACCTTGTAGGTCATCTAGTCCAACCCCTCTGATCTGGAGATAGTGTCACAATCAAGACAGCATTCTGATCCATGATGTATTCATGTGTTGGTTTCTGGATCAATGCATCCAAAATGGTTTTTCAAGAGATTTTTCAACTGAGAAAAAAAAATAGTGCAAGAGAATGCTGACCTTGCAATCATTCTTTATGCCATTCCACGTTACTATAAGTTTGCATACTGGATATAATTGTGAAAGTCTGTCCTGAGAAAGCTCATTTGTGGCCCACTTACATAAAACATTTACTGTTCTTTGAAGCAATCAGGAGGAAAGTCATTGAAAGTTGATAGAAGAGGCTCTCTCTCTCTTGAATGTTTTGTTTGGGGCTCTTTTCAAAATTACATTAAAAAAAACAACCTACATTGATTTCCTTATTCAACAATAATAAAGCCAAAAAGCTCTCCTAATCAGTTTGCCACTGTATTGAAAGATGAAAGGACAGGAAAAAATGAGTGCTCAAGAGAATGAATATATCTGTCTTCCCTTTAACAATAAAGCTAGCATCTTTTAGCTGTCTTACAAAGGAAGTCTTTGTCCAGCTTATGTTGAATCAACAACATGCATCTGTTCATAACTGAACCATGTTATGGCCCTAGACATTCAGCTGAAACCATGATAATATCATGCACATCATCACATCGATTATGCAGCTTGTGACATCTGCATAGTATATAGATGACACAATTCATGTTATTTGCATGATGCTTTGATAATGCACACAAGGACACTTCCCCTCGTATATGCCACAAGTAGGGCATCATAACACCCAGCCAATTTAGATCGTGCTGGATAGGTGGATAAGGTAGTTCCTATGTTTCATTATGGCACTGGGTCTCTTAGAAAACTAAGGTGAAGTTTGATCTACAAGGAAATTTCTATAAGATGATGTACTGTATCATTGGTATTTAACACCAGATAAGTTATCTAAAATGTATAAAGGTATGTCAAATGAATGTTGGAAGTGTAAAAGCAATGAAAGGACTTTTTATCATCTATGGTGGGTATGTGATAAAGCAAAAAAAAAAAAGGAGTATGATTCATATTTTAATACATATTTGGGGGGGGAAATGGAGATAAAAATGAAACCAGAACTTTTCCTTTTGGGCCTAATGGAAAAAGAACTGAGAAAAAATTGAAATGTTGTTACTATATGTTGACAACAGCAAGATTATATATGTATGTGCAAAAATGGAAGGACACTTCAATTCCTACCATAGAAGAATGGTTGCAGAAGTTGATGGAGTTCACTGAAATGGCAAAACTGATTACTTTGATTAAGGAAAAGAACATAAGTACTTTTGTTTCCACATGGAGGCTGCTTCTGAACTTTGTGTTCAATGTGCAAATAACCTAAACTGTGACTTTGGGTTTTACAGATTAGACTGATAGATCTTTATAGAAATGCCTTGTTCATACTATTATGGAAAAGCAAAAAGTTGTGATTTGATGTTAATGCCTTATTTTACTGTAAGAGAGAGAGTAAGAAGTCAATGCTTCTTTCCTCACATCTCTTCCCCCTTCCCCCTTCACTGGTCTTCTATTTACTTTCATATTTTGTATTTTGTATTGCTCTATAATGAAATAAAAAATGTTTACTAGAAGACTATGGTGAAGTTTGGTTAAGTATCATCTCTTCCACCCAGATCCCAACAAGGCGAATACCTTTCTTTAGATAAAGATGCCTAAACACATCTATCTGTCTGTCTGTCTGTTGTTGTTGTTGTTATCTTTTTTTATCTCCCTGCTTCAGAAAAGTGGTAGGTAAGAATTACCCAGGCTGACTCATCAAATCTTGTGCCAGGTCTCCAATGAGAAGCAAGAGACACTCTTGAACTGAAGTAGCAGTCTATGAAAGATAACTCTACCTAGCCCAAAATGTTTCCATATTTTGCTTACTGAGCTATGACTGCTAGCAATCAATGTGTGCTGTCGACACATTTTATTGCCTTAAGCAAAGCAGCAAATGACATCCTCTGGTCAAATTGCAAGATACTCAAGCAATGGCAAATTATTTTGGCACCTGAAGCAGAAAATCCTCCTAACATGGGGTGGGCAGCTGCTCTTGGGCAGCCCCAGAGTCCACTTTAACCATAACTGTCAAAAATTGGCAGTGTGGTTTATTGCCATTTTGGAAATTCTTGTCAGATGGTCATTTTTGTTTGTTAAAATAAATCAACAGAATAAATTTAAACTGTTTATGTTTGCAACATATAGAGTCTTTGTACGCATCTTCCTTTGGGATATATAATGGCTAACATAAATTGTCCCAGACCATTTGCTTTAAATATCTTGAATCCTGCTTTTGTTTTGAAACATAAATTATTCTGATTTGGATTTTTAAAATGCAGCTTCCTGAGCATAAGTTTTTCCCTCTCTTTTTAGAAATGTAACATCTGTTTTTATTCAGTTTCCAATAGTGCCCCTTCATTCAACTCAATCTACCTGACTTCAGCAAGATAAATTGTATATCCACTTCAAACAACAGGTGTTTGTGTTGCTGCAAAGTCTGGTCCAATTCATTCCAATAAAAGCAATTTTAGCAGGTTCCCTAGAATCAGAATTGGCATTTTGTTGCCAGACTGAAGACCTAGGATCCAAGCAATCAAGTTATCTAGTATTCAGTTCAAGTTGTTTGTGATGGCTCTTCCTGCGTCTTGGTCATCATAATGAAATGATCCAAAATGTATAATTATTTTATTAACTCTGCAATCAGCCTCCTAATAATGCAGCCAGATCTGCTCACAAAGGTCTGAAGTATGCAAAGTCCATGGGGGCGTGTTTTCAGCCACGATGCTCCTGTATTTGTTATCATGCTGTCAAGTTTCAGACTACAAATATTTGGAGAAATAATACATCGCATTTTTAAGATTGAGGCATGAATTTAAGATTGAGGTATGAGCTAATAAAAACTGGTTGAGATTTATTGCTGGATTTATGAAACTTATTCTAGAAAGATTGGCCACCTCTAGAGAGAATTCAGAGAGCAAATAAACTCTTTACCACTAAATTTATCATTTGATTAAAATATAAACAAAGAGCAGGCAGGATCTCTGCTAAAAAGACACAGTTCAGAAAATACAGGCTATTCAACCTGTACCCTGATAATCAAAAATATTAGATGGCATCCAGAATTGCAGTTAGAAAGCAATGATGTGTCCATATTTACTTCATCATCCTCAGCTCTAGAAAATAAACAAGACAGAATGAAATTCTGGATTGAACAAGCTGGTTTCTTTCTGTGCTTGATACAGTTGGGGAGCCAAAGATAATATATTACCTCTATGAATGGAACTACCTTAAGATTCATTTAATGCTAAAATGTGTACATTGATGGGTCTTTATTTCTGAGCGCTCAGAACCTGAGTCATTATTTTAAATTTATACTGAATAAGTTCTAAAGAAAGAAGTGGGAGGTATGATCTGGATCAATCCAAGGAATGCCAGCTTGAATCAAAAACACTATTTTGACTTCCCTCTCTGTTATTCTGTTTTGCGGGGACAGAGATCTCATCCCTTTTTCCCTTCCAGGAAGAGAAAGTCTGAGCATGATCAGACACAAGGAGACTGCTGTCTGAACCTTCAGGACAACATAATTATAGCTTTGATAAAGAAGATAGAAGATACACTTCAGGCTAGAGAGACTTTGAGTGACAGGACACTGAGACTTATGCAACTGTGCTTTGCAATTGCAGAAGGATTTGCCTCAGTCTGCCTTTCTGTCACACATGTACCTATCCCTCCTGCTCGCCCATCCCAGTAAGCTTCTCATTAATGGTTATTTTTGGCTTCAATTTGTCAAGAAGCAAAGCTAGCATTCTACTTGGGTCCTTCTGAGAACTACACGGCTTTCTTAAAGCCTTGCACTGAGCTTCACTCGTACTTGCTTTCTTCTTCTTTCTCTTTGGCTGGAAGTGATTACTGTGTGGCTCTGGGCTATTTTGCTCCTTAAATTTGCAGATGGCTGACTTTGCCCAATCTCCCAGTAATTTGTCTCCCTGACTGTGGGGTGATATTTGCCTGGCTATGTCTGCGTTCCAATGACCTCAATAGCGTGAGCTTCTGTGTCTGGTACAGTTAATAAGCATAACATCTCTGTTAGTCACAGCTGTTGATAGGGTTTAAAATAGATCTATGTAGCCTCTATATGTTCCACACTCTTCATTGCACACAACCACAGAACACATTCTGTTCTTAATTGCTGATCAGGTCTGTTGGGGAAAATAGAACTTCTGAAGAAATAAGGTGGGTTGTTTTTTTTGTCAACCTAAACATATATTCTTACACATAGCTACTTATTTTCTGCAACTAAACAAAGCTTCTGCCTTCCTCTGAGATTCAATGGTGTGAGAACCTCCAAATTAAGTTTAAACTTTAGCATCCTTTGTTTCAAAACAGTTTCCAAAAGATGTTTTGAAGGCATCAAGGGACTGAAATGGAAAGTTGCTTTTCCCCACCCCAGAAAAATCAAATGCATTTCATGTTTCTCCAAACCAGATTACTTCAAGAGAAATTGTAATTATGGGATCGAAGGAAGAAATGCCTACAGAATCTTAATAATTGCTATGTTGCTTTACATCAGATTAACAAATGCAGTATAGAAATTAATAATTTACTTACTAAGTTTTTTTTCCTTTTTTAAAATTGTAATTTGAAAGCTAATATTGTTAGAAAGCATTTGTTCTTTCTAAATTTTAAATCACACACTTGTGGCATTCCCAGTCAGCATATAATGGATTTTACTTGTCTTGACTTATGTACATGTTTTAAGAACCACAACATTGCATTGTTAACAAAATTGTTGTATTATTGCAAAGCGTTTTCACTAATAGCCATTGCTGATATCAGTAATTGCAGTAAAAATGCTGCCTGACTGGCAAGATTGCAATTAAATCCTCTGCTTATATCATCTACAAGTAGGCCTCAATTTATGATCACAATTGAGCCCAAAATTTATGTTGTCAAGTGAAAAATCTGTTAAGCGAATTTGTCCCATTTCATGACTTTTCTTGCCACATTTGTTAAGTGAATCACTGCAGTTGTTAAATTAGTAACATGGTTGTTAAATGAATCTGAGTTCTCCGTTGACTTTGCTTGTCAGAAGGTCGCAAAATGACTCCTGAACACTGCAACTGTCATAAATATGAGTCAGTTGTCAAGCATCTGAATGTAACTCACATGACCATTGGGATGCTGCAATGGTCATATCAGTGTGAAAAACGATCACAGGTCACTACTACTTTTAGTGCCATTGTAACTTCAAATGGATACCAAATGAAATGTTTTAAGTCAAGGACTACCTGTGCTAATACTCTATTTCCACAGTGTATAGTAGTAAATATAGTGGCTAAAGCAGTATCAAGCTGAACTATCTGATTTTAGCTTAAGCCATTTGGATTTTTCATCTGCTTCTCCCGGTGTATCCATAATTCATACTGATGTTAACCTTAGTGTCGAAATCACTAAGTTGAAACACTTTCCTGTTGCAGTTGTGACAAATTGCTGGTTGTGACTACTGCATTCTCTCAAATGCTAATGATGTCAAATATTCATGTCAACAGGGAGTGATGCACTGTGATATGATCATGTTCCTTGAGAAACAAGCGTCCCTATCAACATCACCATGAATTTGCCTGGCAGAATTTATATATTTCCAGCTTCATTACCCTGTGAGATGGTTTGGGACAATATTAAGAAATATCCTGCAACATGGATAGAAAATACAAGAAATTTCATTAGAACACGGCCATGCCCTACACTAAGAAGATAATCTGGTCTCACATGGTTTCTCTCTAGGTACTGTATCTCAAGATACAGTATTATAAAATGAGATCACGTCAGGATGATCTTTGGGCTATTTCAACAATGAAATTTATCTTTCATTTCCTGAACATTTTTTTCTAGTGTTTTCGCGTATATTATTTTTCTTGCTGCTTTTCATTCTGCTTTGTCATTGCAAGATGGTGAATGTCTATGGAGATTTTCAGTCATCCAGGTCATGATTATCCCAAAGATGTGTCTCCCCCCCCTTCCCCCCCGCAAAAAAAGGTAACTGGACTTTCTGTTTTGTCTTTGAAGACGTTTTGCTTCTCATCCAAAAAGCTTCTTCAGCTCTGGCTGGGGAATGGAAGGATTTATACTCCTTTCAGACAACTAGTCACTTGCATTCTTTCAGCAAATTGTTGAAACCAATATTTTTATTCCCCACCATCCAGTCAGAGCTGAACAAGCTTCTTGAATGAGAAGCAAAACGTATTCAAAGAAAAACCAGAAAGTCCAGTTGTCTCTTGGGGAAAAAAAAGCCTCTTTGTGCAAGATGGTGAGTTTGCCACTTTATGCATTTTGATCAATCTACAAACTTTCTGACTGGCTCCACTTTTTGATCTGAAAACACCCACAGGAGGATTTTCCCCTTGAGTTGTCCTCTTGGATTTCATTGGAATAGTGGAAGCCGTGGATGCTGTAGACTTCTGGAGAGATGATTGCAGAATAAAAGTCAAGGGCCTTCAAGTGCAGGGACATCTTTCCATAACCATCAGAATAAAATCCTTGGCCTTTTTGAAGAAAGGTTAGAAAGCAATTCTTTGAATCAAATTAAAAATCATTTTAAAACACACACACACACACACACAAATCAAAAAGACAGCATCCTAGTCACTTTTGGATAAGCTACCTATCATCTCTGTCAGTTAGTCAGTTCAGTCATGATGTTCCGTTTCATGTCAGCAGAATGACTTTATAAAAAATAGCAGGCCATAAAGGACAGAAGAGTGATCTCACAAATTAAAATAAAGAGGTGTGTACTAGCTTTATTACAAAGCTTTCTTAATTATATAATCCTAATGTATACACGTGTTCTGGATAGTGGAAGATTCTGATGTTTCTCAGGATATTATGTTTGCTTGTTCTCCAGGATGGACTGATCCAGCATCCCAGGATCAGATCATTCTGGAAGTGAATCTACCAAAAGATAAAATAGTTCAGTCTTTTAAATGCAGTTTCAGAGCCACACTGCATCTTAAGTACCAGGATATTGTTCTTATTCTAGGTAGGAAATTCACTTTCATAAATGTGGGAAACAGAGCTTATTGTTTTTACAGAATGGTAAGAAGACATGCTAGCCTGTGAAGAAAATGCATTGTGTACATTTCTAATCTCGTTAACTAGGGCTGAAGGTTGAGAATTGTACATAGGAAGGCCTCTGCTATGCTAAAAACCAATCTTAACCAGAATTTGCTGATATGATAGTTGCTCTAGAAATAACCCCTAGGAACTAGAACCATAAAAGGTAATTCATAAATAAGGGCAGGGGGTGATAGAATTAGAATGGTGGGAGATGTAATCAGGGGCGGAGATAATGTATTCACTTTAGAAGCTTTGGATAGATTGTGACATCATAATTACTAAACCAATGAGGAAAAGGTGGGAGGTAAATTTGTAACAGCAATAGAGAATATAAGGTAAACATATTTATGATTTAGGGCAGGGCTGTTAAACTCCCGGCCTACAGGCTGGATGCTGGCCAGTTTATTGAATGGGAAAACAATGGGAAACACCCATGCCCAGTTTAGTGAATGGGAAAACATTCCTGATACGTTACATGACGCTGCTTTGACAAATGCAAGTTTAATACCTCTGATTTAGGGTGTGTCCACTGTACCTGCATGTGCATAGCCCACCCTCTTTGCAAAATGAAGAATAAAATTACCATTGTTTTCTTTTGGAAGTTTTGACTGGTGATGGTTTATTTCCAAACTAAACAATGAATCCCACATTAAAGAAATGAACTCTTCAAAAATGGCCAAATGGTAACTAAATGCAAATCAATCAATCTACAAATTTGTTTGTATATAACTAATTCTGGATAGAAGAACTGCATTTGGATCTTGAAATGTTTAGTGTTTGCTAACATTAGATATATCCATTTATATTTTTATTCGCTTTAAAAAAAACTACCAAAACTCCAGAGTATATTTTTCCATTCATTTCTTTTGCTTTATAATTAAAGGAAAGAGGAGAGGGAAATTGAAATGAATAAATCAAGAAGACTGAACTGTAATTCTTCTCGCTAACATCTAACATTCTATTTAAGAAATAGTCTATATGAAAGAAATGACATTTCCATCTGTTAGCTGGAGTATTAGCAATTTGTTTGCAATTATTAGCTTTTCACTTCACCTTTTGGCCTCAAGGAAACTCTCAAAGGAGCTTGCAAATTACATAAATGACAAGTAGAAATACTATTACATCAAATCAAGGAATAAAGCTGATCTATTTATATTTACCTATATCTAGCTGCTGTTATGGATTATTTTGAGTAGGATCTTCTACAATGCAATTTGTCCCCTCAGAATTTTTTTTTTCAATATACTGTTTTTTCTAGCAAGCTGTAATACATAAAGTGGGAATCCTATTGATACTTTTACCAAGTTGAGAGCTGAATTATCACCTTGTAACAACATTGTTGATCTTTAGAACTTCTTTTTGCCTTGTTTTCTTCAGAGGATTTTTCACTAATACTATCTTCCTTATTGGTGGAAGAGCTACCTAGGTTGTCTGAAAGGGTTACCATAGGGCAGAACTGAGATGGTTACAACCAAAGTAATCTCTGAAGTAATCTGTGAAGAAAAGCCACCGGATATGGGTCTGAGCCTTGAACTCAAGGATCCTAGGCTACAAGTTTCATTCAGGACTATAATAATATTTAAAATAATATTCAACCAAAGGCTTTGTCTTGTCCAGTCCCCTTCTCAACCTTCCCTTCTGGGAGAGGATTGAAAGGACATAC